GCTAACAACATAGAAAAATAAAAAAAATGATAACTTCCTAATTATAACAGATTATCTTCTGAAAATCATTCAAGACCCTTATGATTAACTAACACACACTTTCATAAAAATTTTTTTTGAAAAAACTTAATGAATAATACACAAATACACTTTTGATAGATTTTTCTAGGTAGACTACATATTCAGTCTACATACGGGTAGACGTTTTATTCAGTTTACATTTTGTAGACTGCAACTTAGGTCTAGCTACGTTTAGGTTGGTTTTTGCAATTTCCAAATTCACGGGTTACTTTATGTATTTGAAAAAAGATGTGATTTTATACGAGTAGACTTATTTTTAGTCTACATTTTTAAAAAGGTTAGTTTTGCAATTGACCAGAATTCGTTCAGAGTTTGACTTTTAGAAGTAGACTTACTATGCAGTCTACATTTTTAAATTTGCTTGAAAGAGGTTAGTTTTGCAATTGACCAAAGTTGACTTTCTTCTATTAGACAAAACTAAATGTCTACGTAACTGTAGACTGCAGTAAAAGTCTACACTATAATCCGACATGTTAGTTTTGCAATTGACCAACATAAAATAGTAGACTTCATATGCAATCTACTTTTTTTTCCCTAAGATTTGTAGACTGCATATGAAGTCTACACGTAAAGTAAGGTTTAGTCAGTTTCTAAATATTTTTGTCAAATACAAAACTGACCTTCCGTAGACTTCCCTAGCAGTCTACAAAGTGTAGACTTCCAAAAAAGTCTACTACGGTAAGTCAAAATTTTGGTCAAATGCAAATCTAACCTCTTTTATGTAGATTTCTTCGTAAGTCTACCAATTTTTTTTGTTTTTGGTTTCAAAGGTAAAGATGTTGACGTACTTGTAGGTCTACATTACAAAAAAAAAATTATTTTGGTCAATTGCAAAAGTAACCTGTGCGTTGACAAGTAGATTGCATCGTAAGTCTACACGTAAGTGTAGACATATAATACAGTCTACTTTCGCGATACATATCAGAGATATGACGAAAAGCATGTACATAGTTACCTTGACACCGGTTTAAAGCTTGTTTCCAAGCTTTTCCACCGTCCAGAATCCAAATATGAGCAAAAGAAGCAACCTTTACGATTCACTTGTGAATGAAATCGAAACTATGAAGTTTGTGTTTATGAAAATGAGAGTTATGAGGATTGTTTAGATGAAAATAGAGAGGAAATGAGAAGAAATGAAGTATTGTTTGTTTAGAAAGTGAAATTAGTGGTTGAAAATTCATAAACGTAAGCTTAAAGAGCTCATCAATGGTGGTTTTTGGTGGTTGCAAATATTGATGACAATGGTATTGTGGTAAATAAGAGAAATGTTTAGGGTGTAATAGGTTTTTAATAATTTTCGAAAATAATATCATATTTAATAATAATAGCAATTTGGTAAATAGTAAGAAACATGAGGAGATTTTAGGTTTTTTAAGAGTGAATAGTAATAACAAAAAAAAGAGGTTGGTTTTGTGTTTGACTTGAATTTTTGGGTTGGTTTTGCAAAACCCCCCAAAATTAATCTATCATTTTTTCTTGAATATAATATTGATTTAAACATATCTAATAAACAATTTAATCACATGTTGAAAGTATATGTTGTTAAGGATTTAAAAAAAATAAAAGTAATATGAAAAATCCAGTTACTACTAAATAAGTTTTATAAATTACTATTTTAAAATTCGTTTTATTAATATGATTACTATTTATACATTTGGTTTTTACTAATTAAATATTTTAATATCATTCTTCATAAATTCTTATATATAGGAAAATTTCTTTCCAATAATTTTTACATTTCTCTTTTTAAATTATTATTTGTAAAATTAGTTTTTTGTTGATATCATTACTATATTCAAAATTTAATTTTTAATTAAATAATTTTTAATATCATGCTCTTCATAAAATTCCTTTTTATAAGAAAAATTACTATCAAATATGTTTTGGAATTCTCTTTTTTTCTTGTTATGATTTATAAAAAATGAAAACTTATAAGTACAATCAAATAATTTATTTTAGATGACTATTTATCAATCTATCTATTTATCTATATATAGAAGAGTTTTCTCTCTTCTCCTTAAGTGACGTCATTAATTAGGTGTTTATAAACTTGATATATAAGTATAATGTTTAAAATATAGTAATGAATAGTCCTAAAATTTTGAAGTTATTATTATTTGGACTAAAAATATTAACATAATATTAAATGATCCATAAATTTCCATAATTAAAGCTAATTAAACACAAATAAATTATAATTTTTATTTATAATTAATTATTTTACTCAATTTGAAAATATATTTAAATAAAATACCTCTGAATTTAAGAAATAAATATATAAAAATATTTCTATTCTGTGTGAAATTCAATTGGCTATAATTGTAAAATTTACATTTTACTTAATATCAAAGTAAAATAGAAACTATCCACAATAAAATAAAAAATATGTAATTTATAAAAAAATAATAATAACAAAATAGCAAAATTTTCTATAATATAATAGTTAAAGTTAATGTAACTTAACTGGAAATACATTGAACATTTTAAAAAAAATTCTTTAATTTTTTTTTAATAATAAAATAAATTTGAAGAAATGTGAACATAAGATCTAAGATTATTGTATTCTAAGAATGTAAGAAATAAAAATATTACATGCTGACTTGAAATTTTCTAACTTAACTATACCTAGTAATGATAAGAAAAATAAAATTTATACGTGAAGAGGCCAGTACAAACCAATTTAAAAAATATACAGTCACACAATAAAAATAGAACATAATCTCATTCAAACAATTTACGATAACTGTATTAAAAAACTTAGTCAATCTAACAAAATTGGGGTTGAATTTTCTTACAACAAAAAAAATGTAATGGAACATAATGATAAAATATTAAAAAGGATAAACCATACTTTCAACCTATCAGGTAAAAAAAAGAAGAAAAAAACCAGCTCTAAAATGACAGAAACTGTTAGCGCAGAAGTAGAAACACTGTGCAAAGCATGGTCAGTCAAAATTTAAAACACATATAACTAAAGACACATGCTTAGTACATACCAATACAATAAGATTTAAGTTTACATGACCCATTATGTAAACTGTTTAAATTATTATTCTTCAAATTTTTGAAATGTGATGTTTTTGTAAGTATAATCATGTATTACCAAATTTATTGTCTTCAAATTTTCAATTTGCTTGATTTAATTTTTTTTACTACTAAGAAATGTAAATTTGTTTAAATTATTTAATCAAAAAATATTTTTTTACTAATTAACTAAATGACTTTTCATAATGAGGATCAAATGTATTGTTTCCCAATACACTTACAAAATAATTTTATTTTTCTTTTGACAAAATACTAAATTTCACGCGACGCACAAACTTCCCTTAGTAGTTATATATTTATAAGTAGTTTTTTTTTTCACATATGCCACACTTTTATATGTTTTTATTGATATATGTTGTAATTATGTTAATTAGTAATTTTGAGATATCATATTTTATATGATAAGATGCTTTCTGATTTTGATCATAAGGAAGATTAATCAAAGATGAGACTTTAACAACATTATCCCCTTTCTAAACTCAGTTTTTTTTATCTTAGTTGTCCATCGCTCCCACAACTAAATGGACGTCCAGTAGCCGTTTCACTCCAACATTGAATTTGGAAGCAACGATCTTAACAATAGGAAGATAGTGAATGGTCGTAGCCCTAGGCATTTGGATATTCGGTTTGATTTCGGGTAGAAACGTCCATTTGTTTCTGAATATATCAGATAAATCATTTTTACATCTAATAGGTTAAGATTTTGTTTCAGTTCGGTTTTGGATACATGTTTAATATAAATCAAATATATATATATATATATATATATATATATATATATTATATATAATATATTAGTTAGTATGTTAATTTAAATGGTTTAGTATTTACATGTTTATATATTCGTCAATCCAACAAAATTTTATGTCAATAAAGTGTTAATTTTATAAATATTTACTATATCATAATATAGAAATTCCATATCTATTTAAAATATAAAAGAATACACCATATATATTTATAATATAACAAAGTAGATATAATATAACGTTGTCTGGTGGTAACAATGTTTTACTCTTCCTGTCCCTCCTAGATTTAAGTGGGTTTGATGCCATTTTATCTTATATTAAAAAGTTTGAATTTGTTTTTTCGGATATCCATTCAGTTTTTAGTTCGTTTCTAGTTCCGATTCAATTTTTGAGATATAGAAATATAGGAAACATTCGGATATTTGAAGATTTTGGTCCGATTTCAATTTTGGATATTTTGATTCGGTTCTAGTTCTGTTTTTGTTTTTGTTAAGGGCTACTCATAGTAATAACCGACAAGTAGCTATTGTCTCTCTTTTTTTTTTGCTTAATAATATATAATCAAGACGTATTTATAGTTATTTTATATTATATATATATATATATTATGAAAATTTCTAAAAAAATATACTCCATCTGTTTTATTATAAGTTTCATTTTAGAGCTGTGCACACAGATTAAGAAAACAATTAATTTGACATATTTTCTATATAAAAACACAATTACCTATACATCTAATCACATTTTAGTCAATAGAAAAACAAATTACATAAGAAAATTAAAAATTTGCATTGAAAACCGAGAACGACACTTATTTAGTAACGAAAAAAATTTTCTATAACGACACTTAATATGAAACGGAGGGGGTAACATTGATCATTGTCGAAACAAACAATATGATCAACCATAGATATTCAACAAATAAAGACGTGATAGCCACTAAGGGAAACACGGCTGGATATATATATTGGGATGCTCTCGTTTGCGTCAAGAATAATATATATTAATATTTGTGAAAACAAATCATTTTACAGTTGTTTTTTAAAATATTTAACTATGCAAAAGGAGAAGTGACTATTTTATAACCAAAAGGGGAGGAGCCAAATAAGATGAGAGGCTATTGGCAAAGGTTCTTGCTTGGGACTTGGGAGCTTCCCGGATCCTAATTTTTCTATTTGAGCAACAATTTTTCTATTTATTTATTTATTTTTGTTTTTTAATTATTCGATTATTTCATTTTCTCTGGCTTTTTCTTTCCCTTTCTTTCTACTATTTTTTGTCTTTCTCTCCAGGTGCTCATTGATTGGTTAACCTTAATTTTTCAATTTCCTTGAACGGCAATTGTCTTGTTTCTTTGGCTCAAAGCATAAGGTAAACAACAAATTGTGGATACTATCCATACGATTATGTAGCTGATGTTGTTATCTTCTGATCCTTTAATGGTCTTTGGATCGATTCTTTGTGAAATGATCATCACTAGTTTTGTATTATATATTTCAACAGTTTCGCTGGGAATCTTTACGTATTATTGTGGATGATGCTTTGAGCATTTTTTTTCTTGTTTCTTGGAAAAATTCAAAATCTGTGTATAATTTGATGATATCGTTGTCTGATATAAACTCAGAATTTGAAAGAGGGGTTCAGATCATTTGAGATGGCTAATCAAAGTGGTTCGTCGAGGAAAAGTCAATCATATCAAGGGAAGAAGAAACCTTCTGAAAACAATGAAGGAGGAAGCTCTGACCTCCCACGTAGATCTCTCACATCTTCTCGTTCTTCCATGTAATTACCCTCAAGCCAACTTTTCATTTATTTCTCTGTAATGTTTCATCATACGACACATTGTTGTAATTGTTAATTTCATTAGGCTTCTCGGTATTTGTTTCATTCTTTTGCTAGTTTTTGTTTTTATTTTTATTTTGTTTTGTTGTGAGCAATTCCTTATTGTACATGTCGCTGTAGAAGCTTGAATGGCGAGAGGAGTGGAGAGAGAACTGTAAAGCGACTTAGGTTGTGTAAGGCACTTACCGTACCTGATAGCACAACTTTATATGAAGCATGTCGAAGGATGGCTGCACGTCGTGTTGATGCCTTACTGCTCACTAATTCTAATGCTTTACTTTGTGGGATCCTCACGGACAGGGTATACATTTTACGAACAATTTCTTCAAAATGTATTGTTGAGTTGATCCATTCCTCTCTATTGGTTAAAGGACATATCAACAAGAGTGATTGCTAAAGGACTCAACCTTCAAGAAACACCTGTTTCTAAAGTTATGACCAAGAACCCTGTCTTTGTTTTGTCTAATACTATCGCTGTGGAAGCTCTTCAGAAGATGGTGCAAGGTTTCGTAAATTCTATAAAACACACCATTTTTTTTTTGTTTGTTCTCTAATTTTTTATTTGTTTTATATAATTCTTGAAATTTCAAATTGTAGGCAAGTTTAGACATCTGCCAGTTGTAGAGAATGGAGAAGTTATTGCACTGCTTGATATCGCAAAGTGTTTGTATGATGCAATTGCTCGTATGGAAAGATCAGTTGAGAAGGGTAAGGCCATCGCTGCAGCTGTTGAAGGTGTTGAAAAGAACTGGGGGACATCTATCGCTGGTATGTTAAACTATGGCCCCAAACAGATTTTGATTATTCTTAAATGAAAATTGCATGGCTCTTGTTTAAAAAATGAATGTCTCTAATGGTGTTTTATTGAAATATAGGACCAAACACTTTTATGGAGACACTTAGAGAACGAATATTCAAGCCTTTGCTTTCAACTATAATTCCAGACAATACAAAGTGTGTAATATCTCCTTTAAATCAATATTTCATATTTCATATCATTTTGGTCTTAATACTTGTTTATGTTAAAATAAATCAAAGCTTAACGAGTAAAGTTCGGAATGAAAACATACAGAGTTTTAAAGGTCGGATTGGAAGAGACCGTGTTAACAGTAACCGTGAAGATGGTGGAATATCAGTCAAGCTCAGCCATGGTGATGGTTGAGAACAAATTAGTAGGGATTCTCACGTAAGTCTCTCATGGTTGACTTTTGTTTCCACTTTCTGGAGAATATATGCTTTTTTTTTTGTTTATTTACTTACGAAAGTTTTCTCTAGATAAACTAAAACACCATATATTCAAACTTTTGTCGTGGAGCTTTTATCTTAGTTTATAATTTTGTTAGTTCAAAAGACATCTTAATGCGGGTGATAGCCCAAAACCTTCCTCCAGAGACAACTGCTGTGGAAAATGTAAGTTTTCTCCATAAGTTTGGTTTGTGTTAGCTTTCTTAGTTACTATATTCAAATCCGTGTGGAGTTCTTATTTCAGTTCTTCCTAATATCAGTGCTTTTCTAGTCTTAGTTGCTTATTTCCTATTATTATGTAGGTTATGACACAAAATCCAGAATCTGCAACAGTTGATATGGCAATTGTTGATGCCTTGCACATCATGCAAAATGGGAAATTTCTTCATCTTCCTGTATTAGATAAAGGTAGCAAAATCTTCCAAAAACTGAGTATGACCAATCTAAGTATGTGAAGCATCGCAATTTTCAGCATTTGGGTCTATTGTTTATGCTTTAACACAGATGGAGATGTTGTTGCTGTGATTGATGTAATCCACATAACTCATGCTGCTGTTACGACGGTATATTTTTTTGTTATTCTCTTTTAAATAAGGTTTTTACAATGCACCATTGACGAGAGATAAAATTGGTAAACAGAATAAGAACATGATTAACCCAAAGTTTTTAAGGTGGGTTCTTATCGGAAATTAAGAAACAGTTTATTAACTTTCGGTAAGAACCATATCCTAATTCGGTAAGAACCATATCCTAAGAACCCCCGGTTAATCATAGTAATAGAGAAAAATTATATGAAGTGTTGTGCTTTGGTTAAGCCTTATTTTTCGGCCAGGCTGGAAGTACAGCTGGAATAAATAATGAGATAGCAAATTCAATGATGAAAAACTTTTGGGATGCCGCTATGGCTTTGTCTCCTAATGAAGATGGAGATGAAACAGCGAGGAGGTTCTTACTTATTTTGCTTAAAACCATTTAGATTTTGACCACTGAGCTAGGTTACTCAAACTATTTTGTTGGTTGATCGTTAATTTGTAGTGAAGACGAATCATCAATTAGGCTACCTTCGGAGATAGAAGGAATGAAATCATTCTCATATCCCAACACATTTGCTTTTAAGCTACAAGATAAAAAGGGACGGATGCATAGATTTATGTGTGGTACGTTAACGTTTAATCATAACATCATTTGTGCCAATTTAAAGACATTTCATAACTGTTAAGACTTCATAATGATAGAGACACATAGTTTGACAACTCTGATAACTGCTATACTACAACGGACGGGGGATGACATCGAGCCTAACAACTTGCCTCATATAATGGTTTGTATTTATTTGAAAGCTTTTGAAATAAAAAGAGGAAAACTAAGTTTTTTTTTAAATGTTTTTGTGCTCTGTAGTATGAAGATGAAGACAGTGACAAAGTTATTTTGGCAACCGATGTGGATCTTGTAGCTGCCGTAGAGCATGCAAAATCAATAGGCTGGAAGGTAACTAAAAGAAAATACGTAACATCATATTTTGTCAATCAATCTTGTTTTTTTTTTGGTAACCCGGGTCATCCGGATCCGAAGATGTAACTATTTTCGGAGGACATGAGACATACCATGTAAAATATCCCCATGTTTCCACACATGCACATTTATCTGGGTGGCATATTTTGAACATGTGCCGCTTAGACAACGCCTGTGTGGGCTTTGGTTGGTTTGGATTTTTGAAATGTGGTAGCCAAAGTTATAACCTAATCCATACTTGGATCCGTTTTAAGAATAGTTGTGGTTCTTTTCCTTGACTTTGGTTTCGATTCTGATTTTCGGTTATGGAAATAGTAAAATTCTTTGAACCTTAAGGTCTAATTATGCTCTGATAGGTTAAGTAGGTTTCGAGGTGAAGAATAAAATGAATTCTAAAACTTTGCAGGGTTTGAAATTGCACTTGGACTACGTGAAAGCAAGAGGGCATAGGAAAGGTTTAAGCACAAAGGATATGGAGTACGATAACTCAAAATCATGGCCTGTCGCTTATAAGACAGTTGTAGCCGGGGCTGCTCTTGCCGCTGGACTTGGGGTTTTGGTATACCTTAAGCGCCATTCAAATTAATTGATTCATTTTTGGCGAGGTTCAAAGGTGAATGCTATGTTTTTTTAATCTTGTTAGTCATTCTTTTTTTTTTATCAAAAAAAAAAAAGTTAGTCATTCTTTTTTTAACGTTACGCATTTTTGTATATAAATAAGTAAAACATTTATTTACACTGAAAATGATGTTTGTATATTGGCTGATTCGAGTGACGTTCGAAAGTTCAGTGAATTTTAAGCCTGGTATAAAATAAAAAGAAAAAGAAAAAGTTCTATGAATTTTTATCTTGTTCCTACTCAGTCACAGTTTAGTCTAATCAATGCACAAGATGCTCGGTACACTCCTTGTCTTGGAGAATCTGCTTTGCTTCGTCTTGTCCTGCACACGTAATCATTTTAGGACTCGGTAATATACCAAAATCATTTCCGAATTTCAATTCCCACACATGATGATGATCAAAATTCAGAGTCACAAACACCCGATCAATTTAAATTAGCGAAAGCTCAAGTCTTGATCTTCTAATAATGAATGCCCCACCAGATCCAAGTAAATTTGCAAGACATTCTATAACTATTATAGAGAGAATGCTCTAAGATTCGTCACAGTGTTCCTCCAACCTACATTGTCTATGATGTCGCGGACTTGAAGAAGAGTTATCTCAGTAGGTGATATGATTCCTTGAGCATAAAACTCACTCATGAAAATATCATTGTACTTGAAAAAATCAACTCCAGAGGTAAATCAAGGAAAATAACCTTGAAGAGAATCACGTTTCTCATGACTTCAATGTCGAAGTAAACCAGACGGTGTAGAGCATGTCGCTGATTTATATAAGGTTTCACAATATAGAAAGAGAGAATTTGACTTTATTTTTTTTGAGAGGAAAGAGTTGTGATGAGAAACTTAAACGTCACATTAGTAATTCTTACTTGATCGACACACTACACGTTTTCAGAGGTCCATCATCATAATTAATCGACCCAAAATATCTTAGATTCTTTGTTCGTAACTACATGGTGTAGTGACATTCATTCGTGTTCTTTTTTTTTTTGGGCATCGAAAACTCCATATTTTATTAAGTAGCAACCAAGAGGTTGGTCTTGTGAACCATCCAACTTGGGAGCTGAGAGTTTACATGGGAGAAGAGACCTCGAGACCGAGCTCCTTTTGCAAAGAGGTCAGCTCAGAAGTTCAGAGAGCGATGAATAAAAGTTATGGAGCAAAAAGTAAACAGAACGAATAAGATGAAATTCTTCAAATTCAGCCAACAATGATGGCCACTTGTCTTCGTCGTCTTCTTCCAGGATGTTGACTAGTTGAAGGCAGTCTGTCCTAAAGTTCATTGAGCTATGCTCAAACTGAATGGAGGATTTCATGGCCCACAGTAGAGTTTGGAACTCCGCATGTAGGGGGGTTAGGACTCGGTTACTAGCAAATGAACCGTAAGTCGTCGTCCCATCCTTTGTCGTCATGACCATTCCCCCACCAAAATAAATATCTTCCTTGTGCCAGGAGGCGTCGATCGAGCAATGAGGCCCGAGATCATGGGTTGGGGGGTCGCGATGAGCAACGCCGTGTGCTCCTTCCTGTTCCTAGTCCTGTTCGATGATCTGAGCTGCGCGCCAGGCTTCCTCCTCTGCTCGAGCGAGTTGAACAGTCTCCAGTGGCATGGTGTCCTTGCCATTAAAAGCCTTGTCGTTGCGATCTTTCCATATGTACCAAATGATCCAGGGAACTGGGGCGCTGATGGTCTCCGGGATGGCAAGGTCCTTTGTACGCCACAAAACATGGTCAAGGTTACTATATATCGAGGTGCTCGGGAAAATCCCAGGAGAGTGCGGCATGTCTGCTAGAGCCCAAGCTTGGACCGCTGGTGGGCACTCAAAAAGTAAGTGATTACTGGTTTCTTCGTCGGTGCCACATCTTGGACATGATCGCTCGGTTCTGCAGTGGCGATCCGCGAGTGAGCTGCAGACCGGTACGCAGTTGGAAATCGTTTGCCATATGAAGTGTTTAATCTTCTTTGGAGACTTGATTTTCCAGACCTTGGCTTGGAGAGTTGTGATGCTCGGTTCCAAAACTGGTGCGTTTTCTAAGTGATCTTCTTGTTCCATAGCTAGAGCATACCCTGTGAATAAATCGCAGATTTGGTAAGGCTCCAGCAGTAAGAAATGGCTCGAGGAGATTGCGTTGGTTTAAGACTTTGAATAAATGGGATGTCATTTGTATCAACCAATTCCTCCAAGAGCTCATGATTCCACTTCTTTGAAACAGGGTCAATCAAAGCACTGACTTGCAGCGATGGATTGAAAGATGGACCGCAAGGAAGCGCTGGACGTGGTGTTGACGTTGGGAGCCATGGATCTGGCCAGACTAGGGTGGTTCTCCCGGTTCCGATTGTCTTGCGGAGACCCGCTTTGAGCAGAGTTTGGCCTCCCATGAGGCTTCGCCAGACATAGGAGGGGTTACTTGCCTTGGTGACGTCGACCGGGTTGGAGAGCCGATAATAACGGCCTTTAAGGACCCGAGCTAAGAGAGAGTCGGGGTACTGTATGAGTCTCCAGAGCTGCTTCGCAAGTAGTGCGAGATTAAAATTCTTAAGATCGCGAAATCCTAAGCCTCCTTTATCCTGCGGGATGCAAATTTTCTTCCACGCAATTCAATGCAGTCCCCGGTTGTTATCTTTTGTGCTCCACCAGAAGCGTGAGATTTCGCTTGTGAGCTTCCTTATGATCTCTTGTGGCAGTAGGAAGCACGACATGACGTAGGTTGGTAGGGCCTGAGCAACTGATTTTATCTGAACCTCCTTGCCGCCTTTGGATAGCAATTTTTCGGACCAGAAATTGATGCGACTCTGCAGCCACTCCTGAATAAAAGCAAAGGCTTGTTTTTTACTTCCGCAGATCTTCTCGGGTAAGCCTAAATATACACCCATGCCGCCTTCTTTTGTAATGCCTAAGGATTGCTTAATCTCTGCTTTTAGCTCAGGTGGAACTTTTTTTCCAAACAAGATCGAGGATTTATCCACATTCAGTTGCTGCCCAGAGGAGCAACCGTATGTGTGGATGATTTTCATGAGCTCCGTACACTGCGGGACCTCCGCTTTGCAGAAAAAAGGCTATCGTCTGCGAACAGTAGATGGAAAATCGGAGGGCTTCCTCGCGCGATCTTTAGACCCGTGATTCTCCCCTCTCTCTCCGCTCCTTGAATCTGGGAGATAAGTGCTTCCGTGAGGAGGATGAAAAGGAATGGAGAGAGCGGATCGCCTTGTCTGATACCTCTCGAGGGTGCAATACTTCCTTTAGGTTTGTCGTTTAGTAAGACTTGATAGAAGACCGAGGAGATACATATTTTTATCCATGCTACCCTAGGGGAGAAGCCTAGCTTGAGTAAGAGAGCTTCAAGGAAAGACCATTCAACTCTATCAAAGGCTTTACTCATATCGGTTTTTATTGCTACGTACTTAGCTTTGCAGCTTGGGTTTGTTCGCAGGGCGTGGAAGACCTCATGTGCTACCAGTATATTGTCCGTGATCAAACGTCTAGCCACGAAAGCCGATTGGGTCTCTGATATTAATTTGGATAGAAAGCGTTTGAGGCGTTTACTCAGGATCTTTGAAATGATTTTGTAGCTCATGTTACAGAGGCTGATAGGTCGGAATTCGGTCATTGCAGTCGGGCGCTCCGTCTTTGGGATGAGACATATGTTTGTTTGATTCAAGCGGGGATATAGGACGTTGTCTTGAAAGAAATCTTTGACCGTTGTACACATCACCTCGGCTGTGATACCCCAATATTTTTGAAAAAAGGCTTGTCATCCCATCCGGGCCAGGAGCCTTGTCTGGGTTAATGTCAAACACCGCTTTGCGGATCTCATCATCTGATGGAGGTTTTGTTAGAGCTTCGTTCATGGCGGGGGTGACTTTTTCAGTAATGTATCTTAAAGACTCGTCAAAATCAGAAGGGTTCGATGAGGTGAAAAGCGTTTGGAAGTAGCCTGTGGCCACTGCTTCGATATCATCTTCTGTTTCTGCCCAGAGTCCGCTTGTCGTCCTTAGCTTTGTTACCCTGTTTCGAGCTCTGCGTTGCTTGGTAGTGGCGTGAAAAAAACGAGTGTTTTGGTCGCCTTCGCGGAGCCAGTTTGCTCTACTTTTTTGCTTCCAATAAAGCTCCTCATCTCTAAAAGCAGTACAAAGGTTCCATTTTAAGTTTAGGATTGCTTCTTGGGAGTAGTTATCGTCCACTTGGGCTTGTTCTAGCTGATCCTTGATTTCCTCTATTTTCTTTGCGGCATTGGAGGGATTTGCGCGCTTCCATCTAGAGATAAATTTACGGCAATGCACGATTCGGTCATGGAGATCATCTCTGCTGAAGGAAGAGGGCGCATTCCATCCTTGGAGTATAGAGTCTCGAAAGCCATTTTTTCCGAGCCATCGCTTGTCAAATTTAAAAGCTCGTTTGCTCTGTTTCTCGGCAGATAGGAAACGCGTCAGTATGGGTCGATGATCACTACCCCATAGACGGAGATATTCCACATTTTTGTGGGAGAAGTGTTGATGTCAATCCTCATTGCCTATTGCTCGATCGAGTCTACATTGAACTTTTCCAGAGGCTCTGTTTCCAACCCAAGAGAGAGGGTTTCCTTTGTAGGGGAAGTCGATCATTCCGCAGTTTGCTAGCATGTTTTTAAAGGGGAGGAAGGTAGAGTCAGGTCATTTCCTGCCCCCTTTCTTCTCAGAATTGCTGGTTATCTCGTTGAAGTCTCCCAACATCAACCATGGTCCAGACCTGGATAAGCTCATGCGAGTAAGGCGTTCCCATACGTTTTCTCGGTACTCAACGACCGGATCTCCATATACAAAAGTGATATAGACCTTGTGTCCTTCTATGGTGGCTTCAATATCGATCATGCGATTATTGGAGTAAAGAATAGTAACATCAAAAGAATCCAAATAAAAAAGTGCTAGTCCACCGCTTCGACCCTCTGGTTCCACGGTGAACAATTTAATATAACCAAACTCAAACTGAAAATCTTGAAGAAAAGAAAAATTGTTTTTTGTTTCAGAAAGAAAAAGAAAAGAAGGAAGAAAACAGCGGTGCAGTTCCCAGAGATGTTGTTTTGTCAGATAGGCTCCGGTACCCTGACAGTTCCAAGCTATTGCACTCATATCTTCTTACTGGGTGGTTTCTGGGACACCACTGAACCTGAAAGAGACACAGATTTTTTGCGTAAAGCAGAAGGGA